GAAACAACTCCAAATAGAGAGGCAACAGGGGCAGCAATCACCAAGTGGAAATTAATGCGGCCACAATGGCCACCCCGTGCCCCATGATGCGACAAGACATGGCATACGCCATAGCAAATCGCTTTGCGCGCGGGGTTGCGCGAGCAAACTGAAACTGAGGGATACTGAAGGTGCAGCTCGGTCAAGGTTGGAGGATCGCATCCTTCAACGCGAGCACAGATGTTCAACAGCTTCCTTGCCAACCCTGTCGATGAGGTCGACAAGTCGGTTGCAATAATAGCAGGTCCGCGCGGGGATCCATTGAATGCGCGGTGGCAATTTCTCGAAAACAGCTCGGATATGGTTTTTGTGACCTGGCCATGACCCCGGCTGGGCCAGCCGCCGCTTGGTTTAATACATGTCGAGTGGTCTTCGAATGCAACGAAGCTCATCACGGCCCAGAAAAAATGCAAAGGAATTCAACAAAAATTGTGGGTGGCAGAAAATGACACTCGTGAAGAACGTTACCATTTCAAAGTGCGCAACATGTGCAAAATGTTTTCGAATGCGCTTGATCGAATGGGTAATTTTTTTTGTCCATTAACAATGCCACTTTGGTTCTTGCGCTTCCCATGTGTCACGTCACATTGCAGGCACCTGCCGGCTTGGGCTCCAGGCGGCGCGCCTCTTGCCAGCGCGCGTACGCAAGGAGCTCGTGCAAAGCCAGCGGCTGACCGGCTCCACAATTTTGCTGGGCTTGGAAAGGTTGAATAAAGTCGCCGCAAGCGCTACGTGCGCAGCAGCCGAAATGACGCCGTTCCGATGCTGAAGTGAAAGCATGCGTTCTGCGCGGCCGGACGCCGTGCGCTCGGAGCACTGGCGCACGGGCGCGAGCCAGCAAACGCTTCGGAACCCAGCGCTCAGACTTCCAGGCCAACGACAACACATCAGCAGCGGCGAGAACGGCCCTTGCGGTCTGCCACGTTGCGAAGGACGGTACATGGCACAGTTTCGGCACAAGAATACGGTGAATTGGGCTGAGGAGGCGCGCTCTATGGGCAAAGCCCGGGACGCAAGGACGCCTGACGTTGCGCAAGCCGCTCAGCATAGGAGCAAGCCACCGCGCATGCAAAGGTTGCTGAGCAGCGCCCGCCATACACTGCGGGCTTGTCTGGTTTTGCAGTTGGCACGGCAAGGGACGGGACACAGGACGCAACTTCCGGGCCCCAGCCGCCCCCAAGCTTTATGGTCAGGACAACCAGCCGGCACCGTGGCGAACGCGGCAACTCAGGGCATAGGCGCTGCTTGACTTTCATGAACTGAGGTTGCGAAAAAACGTTTGCGTCAGCAACGTGCACATCCCTCGCTAAGGCCGATGAGGGCACCGTGTTGCTGAGGGAAGCCAAGACGCCTCAATGAAAACAGCAATCCATGTCCCAAATTGCAGCAAATATTGTCTTCGCAGCTCACATTGGAACAAGTCAAGTTGAACCTGCATGCCGCTTAGCCGTCTCTTATGAGGGGCACAGGCGAGGAACGAAATGGCAAATACCCAGCTGGACAGGGAATGATTAAAAAACAAATTTAAGGTGGTTTGAAAATTATGGCCCAGTTGTCCTGCCGCTGCGCGCATACTGGCATGCGAACCAAGATTCAAGACCCATTGCAAGACATATCCATGATGATCGATGCCTCAAGTCAAGCTTGGCCATGTCAAGCAGTGCGCGAAGGACGTCGCCCAGCTTTGCACGAAGGAGAATTTTGAAAAAATGTGTTTTTGAATGCTACGTCGATGACTTTTCCAAACTTTCCGAAGGGCATGAGGACGCTTGAACTTGCAGTGGGCAATCTGTGAGAGAGAGTGAACCCTTCCAAATCGAGTGTATCAGATTCGCCTTTGACATCCTTGCGGGGCAGCACACGGTCATATGATTAGGTCATATGATTATCGGCCCATGTCGGAGCAAGCGCCGGCGGAACCCCATGTGGAGGAACTCGCAGAACTGCTTCAGTGCTGTGCCTGCCGTGCCTTTTGTCGCGGCCTTCGTGGTCCATGACTCGCACGGGTCACACCGCTGACTCGGACGGGCCGCCCCCATGTATGGCACGCTCCGGGTCCGACTCGGATTGTGGAAGGCAGGCAAGTCTGGCCAAAAATCGTGGAATCGTGAAACGGGTCCAAGTGACCAAGTGTTCTTCAACACTGGCTGCCGCACACCGGCGGTGAGCTCCAAAGGTTCGGAGTGCACTGCTTGTAAGCTCGGGGACACAAGAACAGCCACTCTCGGGCACGACGCTTACGGAGCATGCTGTTGGCTGCAGTCCAACAAACCGTATGGACCAGGGCATGTGGTCAACTCACATTTTGGAAGCCAAGGCCCCATTTTGCAACTCTCGTGCGCCGTTCCGCGGTGGCGCGCTGTGTTCGTCCCCCATTCCCGCAATCTTGCGACGCGAAGGCCACGGCGGTGCTGCGAATCGGGTCAAAAGCGTTTGAACGTCAAGGCGATACGCTTTCTGCAGAAATCTGATGGGGGCACAGGAGATTTGACAATCGCCGCCTGTCAGAACGGCCCTGGAGCCTGAAGCTGCTAGGAAATGCTGTTGCTCTTAATAAGCAGCTTGCAATTCGTCAAACGCGGGGATGCGAGGCATCACGTGGCTTCGTGCCCCACATTGGAAGGTGAGCTGGTGCAGCACGAAGACATCCACCAGTCGATTAGCAGCACATGTCTGACAACCACCTTTGGCAAAACCTTGGCTGTTTGGCGGTCTTTGCCCAGGTTTCGGAAGATGGACTCTGAATGGCATGTCACATCGGAGAAGCCCTCTCAGCTGCAAAACAAGCCTCGCAACGCGTGGCATTTGCAGTTGTATTTTTGCAGGGTCGTTGTTGTGTTGTGTTTTTTTCTGTTTTGCAAGTGTTCCCGGGAATTCTGTCAGCCAAAATGTCAGGACACTTCATGCAAGACACGATTTGGAATTAGGCAGGACGCGAGGACACTCCATGCGACAGCGATGTCGGGCCCAAAACTTGAAGATGCTACAGGAGAAAGCAGAAGTTTCAGTCTATGACGCCAGCTTCGCGCAAAGTGCAGGCGGGCGTTGGGATCAAAAAAAGCATCGGGATAAACAAATCTGCTGCTCAGCAATACGCATGTTAATATGAATAAGAATATTGACATTAATTAGTAGTCCCCTTCATGTGGAGATGAATACCAATTTGTGAAATAAACCGCACATGACTCGTAGCACGCGCATGTATCATGTATTCGTACTCGAACAAATACTACTATTCACGCTGATATTCAGCTTCCAGTAACACAAATAAGAGCCCAAACCCCAAAAGCACCAACAAAAGAACACGTATATAACGAACACATTATGTTTCCACAAATTTCATCCTTACGGTAGCCGCTGCATATGCCCTCGCTCAGCTCCGGGTACGCGTCGTACCTGCGTCTCTCGACAAACTACCTGGCGGTGGCGCATAACAAGGCTGCGGAAGCCCCATGTGGTATAAGACCACAGCAAAAAGCCCTGCCAAGCGGTGCGACGCCGTACACTCAAAACAAACCCCTCGCGTACAGGAATACTTGTCAACCACGTCGCAGGGGCCTGCAGGCAAAGAAATGACCAAATGCACACCAGCTCCAGAGGCCAGTAGGTCCAGATATGGTGCCGGAGCACACAAACATCCAGAAAACCCACAAACCTTACAATGTGAGGCACGATGTCCTGACGTGTCAACAGAACCATGGGCCCGGATAGTGGCAGAGTTTGCTGCGCGCGGGTTCAATAAACTTTTTACACAGCCGTCAGTGCACTTGAGACTTAAGACTGAAGGTAATAACGTGAAAAGTGTCACTACAAGTTTTGGCCAGCAGCATAAACAATACACTCCCTCCCAGCGGCTCGACACACTCAACATGCGTGCTTGGCAGGAATACCGACTAGAAGTTGTCACACTGCTGAACACATGCAAAGCCGCGGCTTGACCCAAGACCATTCTCAGGAACTGGTAATGAGGAATACGTCCCAATATGTCCAAGTCTACGTCTACTTCGTGGCTTCGTGCAAGCCAGCGACGCCACGACCTTGGCTATCGCGGTTTGCTGAGATGCCAGCAGAGTGTGTAAGTTGGACCTAAATGCCTGGTGTGGGCAGATGAGATCAACAGCCAAGCGGCTTCACCTTTCCGAAGAAACGATGATCTCGATGTTCTGGAGCATAGGGTTGCTGCATCTGAGGGTAACTTTTCTTTCGCGGCCTGTTTTGCAAGATTTGTAAGCGTTCCTTCTTGCTGATGCCTCCTGTAAGTGTTGCTGTTCGCTGGTCTTGTCTGTTTGAGCTTAGGTGAGTATCGGCTTTGTTTGAAAAGCTGAATTCGACCTTTCTAGACTGGTTGCATCCATTAGGTCCAAAATTTTATGTCACAGATTGCACACTCTGCTGAGGTGGGATCTACGTTTGCTGTTGGTTTTTACTTCTGTAACATGTTGCCTGGATGGAGCCCGAATTGGACAGCGAATGTCAACTCTAACCGCTGTCTTTGGACTCGAAGAGAGCTGCACATGACAGCTGCTGAGCATCAGCAAACTCTGAGTGTGCAAAGAGGGAACCGAGCTCCAGCCTGCCAATCGCGCATCCATCAGTCCCGTAACATAAAGTAAGCCATCTTTGAAGGACCCCCCAAAAGCAGATGAGCTAATGCAAATTTCATGATCTTGTACAATTTCCTTGCGGGTCAATCTTGCTATGAAAAGTGCAAACTCGTGACCTCGATGCCCCAAAAGACTCTTGCCTGCTTTGGCATATGGAAAACTCCAACGGCAAATCGCTGATTGCGTTAAACTGCATGACTGAGCCAAGCAATGGCCAACGAGAACTGCACAAAGCCACGGATACATTCAGGATTCCTGACAACTAGAATGACAGCCAAAAAAAAGTACATTTACAGCATGAAAGTCAACCTGCGCTAACGCAGAATGCAACGTTGTGGGCGAGCAGCAGCAGCGCACCGGAGGGCTGGTCCCGGGACGTTCGATTTCATCCCTAAGCTTGGTCTTCAAAGTCACACATGCAAACCACAAGTTGACGAAATGTGCTGACATTTTCTCAGCAAACCAAAGCGCAAAACCTTCTCAGTGCCTGGCCGGGATTTCCCCTCAGCAAGATCAGGGTGTGAAGCTTTTTTGCTGCATCTAGAATATAACTATGAACATGGAGCATGGCGGTACGTACTTCACAATGTCATTCCAGGGGTTTGTCATGTTTGAGAAGTCTCTAACAACAGATGCTCAAGCAATCTAGTAAAGAAAGCTTGTAAATTCTCGAAAATAGAGGCTCATGCAGCAAGAGCTCAAGCTTGAAAGATAACTCGAGATGTGGCTGTCCTGCCTTGATGCCTACATCCCCCTTGCGGGACGTCCAAACCTCAGGCACTCAAAGCCTCTTTGAAAGACGCCAAGCATCGCTACCACTAAGATACGGGCACCACCTGGTCCAGGTGTCGAAGCAGCAGTGGAGGGTGTTGGTGCATCTCCTCACCAAGCTTGGTACTTGAAATCTGTCTTGTGGAGGTTTGTGAATTCATGACATCACACTGCCGCCCCACCGCCTGGGAAAAACTTCGAAGATTGCCCCTTCTTTGCCATCGCTCCTGCAAGACACACTGCGCAATGCCAGGCAGCTCAAACCTCAAAGACACCTTTGAAAACTTGCCTGATAGCGCACCATCTCCTGCTACCCGCCAAAATGCCCTGCAACAGGAGGAGTTCCACGACCACGTGTGCAGGAAAACGACATGCACCACACGAATAAACAAATTACAACAAACGCAAGTCCACACTACACACTAAGCTTGCTTATACGGTTGCGTTTTGAAGACCGAGGGCCAGACAAAGACATACAGACAATAATAATCCAGAATGCTTGCGCTGCCCAAAAAAAAACATAGCAAGAAGTAGCGAGCCTTGCCGACGCTGCCAGATCCAGATTGCATTGAGCCAATAATAGAAATTGCAGTAATGCAAACATGTTAGTACAACCAAGACGTCTTAAGTACAAGACATCAGACACCCGGCCGTTGGGCCATGTCGTTAATTCTTTTTCGTGCATATCCATGTTCATCAATTATATCTTCAATTTCCTAAATGTATTGTTTACATCGAACCCACCAGACAGATGTCATGTGGGCATGAATAATTTTAGGCATGGACCCCTTATGAAGTGCTGGAGGGGGGGGGGGAGGACAACCGCGTCCTTCTGGCTTGTTGCAAAAAATGCTGCGCCACATGTAAACATGGGAGTCAGCCATCTAGTTTTGGGACAGCTGCATCAACATGATTGTTTAACCACGTGAACAGTGCTCCCCGAACTGCGCCACTGTATTCTAAATTCCATCAACTATGGGAATTCCAAAACGCATCAAAAAGTTATGCTAACATATGCCAGCACCGCGGGCGCAAACAACACGTCAATGCAAAGATGTAGCTAGCAGCCAAACAAGCACTCCTCCACTTGTTTCAAAACAGCTTATTCTTTGACTGGAATAAGAACTCACGTTCAAACACACCCAACAATGCGTAATCATGCTTCATGAAAAACTGCACATTCAAATCCAAAAACACCGCACACGCCGCTGCATGCTTGTCCTTTTTTTGCGCGATGGCGTTTCTCCACATGCAAAAACCTGCAACATGTGTTTGTTTGATTATAAATTACAATCTCTGTTCTATGAACTTCCATCATTGCCAATACACTCTGCCGTTTAAACTTCTGCCCAACATGGTTTAAACAGCAACAAACGTTCAACATGTTGTGAACATTCCGAATAGGTCAAGGATATGATTGATTGCTGCGCTTTGAAGTTGTGGCCTTTGACTCTTTCTTGCGGCATACTGGTCAACAAAGCCGACAGCGCCATGACGACATGAAACTACTCCTACGGCGCTGAAATATGACACGCAAGGAAAAACATTAGGGGAGTATTTCAGCACACGTAATTAACTCGGATGGACAAAAAACGACTGCGCCTTGAAAACCTTCCTCATTGCAGCACACGTGCAACCCGAACTATCGCACAGCCGACCGCCATGCAAAATGAGGTCGGAAGTCATGATGTCTCGGTGGATTTGGCTTACACGTATGCGATGAAATGCGATGAAACAAGCAGTTTGAGCACCTCATGCTACATGCCACAATGCTTGTTGTTCAAAAGCCATCTCTACCTTCCGGGCATCGGCCGAATCATTCTGTTCAAGCTTTCTCACAACAGGTAATGAATATGGGTCGATCAATTTTCTCCACCCAAGCATAACCAAGAATCAAACTCACCACCTGAAAATAGAAGTTTGCCTCGTACAACAGCCATGCATGTCGTTGCAACAGCTTGTGTTAAAAGCTAGGTGTGCGCAACGATTTTGAAATTCATGTTTTTGGCCTTCGACGGGACCTCCACAAGCAACGAACACTGCAAGGGAACTGCCACTGTGGTTGTTGATAAACTATTTCCTACACAATGCTTACTACGTATTATGTTTTGAACGGCACTACGAGCTGCAGCCTGCAGCTATGCAGACTCGAAAAAAGGGTATCCAGTGGTTCCCGTGAGTGGCATCCATCACGAGATTCCGTCAGCTTAAGGTTTCAGCAACAGGAAAAAGCAGAACAGCAGCAGAATGCAGCACGTTCTTTTTTCCTCGTCGTGTTAGAGCCCAGGGCAGAAAACGGACAGTGACAGATCAGTCACTGTCAGTCAGTCCCAGACGGGAAATGACAGAACCTGCAGAACCTACGTAGGACCTACAGGCAGAACAGCAGGCTGCTTCTCCGGCCCATCATGAACAAACATGATAGGACAGAGATACAGACTGCAGCACAGGCAGGGGAGCGAGGCTCCCAGCCAGCACAGAAAAGGCGGCAGGTGGGAATTCAAAACACATACACTGACCAGAAACTTGAGGCTGATGGCTGCACACGGAAGACGGGTTACCTGCAGCCACAGCCTTCCGTCGCGTCTGCATGCCAAACACACAGATATACATACGGAATCGTTTGGCAGGCAGACTAATCCGTTACGTCCGCTTACAACAAACTCTGAGCCGGCTAACCCCAAACACGAAATCGAGAATTTAGAGAAGGTTTATTTTCACTTTAATGCAAAGAACGGGAGAATATTTCCAATCACTCAACTCAGATATACATATATCAAAAATTGAGCGAATACAGAAGTTGCAACACGCACTTTTCACGCTGTGGGGAATCACGATGTCAGGATGCCACCGTACTTACAACCGTCGGGCTAGGCATTCTGAGGATACGAAAGATGGATGATACACATGTTTCACAACTGTGGCCCACATGGGCCGCGTCCACATGGATGCTGTTGCACACGCAACCTAGGATGGGAGGGTGGGAACAAAATTTTGGTCACCTGAACCAAAAGACCTTGCATGCAAACACATGTTCAAAGCGCATGCAGAAACACGTGTCCCAAAATTCCCAAAATACAACTCCCTGTTTTGTTTTGCATTCCAAAACAAAACTCTTTGCGTGTGAAAATAAAACTTGATCCACCTCTGGTGGAGGAACGTCTTATTTTCACTTTAATGCAAAGAACGGGAGAATATTTCCAATCACTCAACTCAGATATACATATATCAAAAATTGAGCGAATACAGAAGTTGCAACACGCACTTTTATTGTTCAAAGACCGTGCTTGTAAGACAACCAATCACGTTGTTCTCCATCATAATCAATCATGGCAACATGTTTGAGCACTCAGGGATCGAATGCTTCCAAGACAACTGTG